AAAACGGGTCAGGGATTTAGCTCAGTGGCAACACACCTGCCTCCAAGTGCAAAGTCCCGAGTTCAATCCCCGGTACCAAAAAAAAAAAAAGTGAATTTAAGTTGAGCACGGTGGCATATACCTGTACCTCCAGCTCTCGGGGCTGAGGCAGGAGGATCACTGAGTAAAGGAGTTTGAGACTAGCCCAAGCAACACAAAGACCCTGTCTCAAAAAAAAAAAGGTATGGCACACCCCTGCCATCCCAGCATTTAGGAGGCCGAGGCAGGAGGATCACTGAGTTCAAGGCCAGCCTGGACTACAAAGGAAGACTCAGAACGACCAAAAAAAGAAAAATAAGGTTAAATGCACCCATATGGGAAGAATATTCTTTCCTTTTTCTCTGCACCTGTCACCCAAGCCAGTGAGTCCCTATTTTCTCTCCTCCCATTCTCTGCTACCACGCCCCACCTTCATCTCCTGCCAGGAGGGCCTGAGCCCAGCGACTGCCAGTCACCTCCCACGTGCTTGGCAAAGGCCTGGGCTGCCCTGGGGCTCTCAGAATTTGGAAAAGGTTGGGTTGAACCTAGGGCCTTTGTACTGAGCTACAACACCAGACCTTCTTATTTTTTCCTTGGAGACAGGATCTTGCTAAGCTGATGAACTGTCCAAGTACGAGCCCACCCTGTGTGATGTAACAACTTAGTGAGAGTCTGTCTCAAACAATAAAAAGGGCTGAGGATGCACCTCAATGTGACAGGCCTGTGAAAGGGTCAGGGGGAGTGAATGTCACTGGAGACCCTACAGTAGGTCCCAGCCTCCTGTAGGTTAAAGAATAGACGAGACAATGGGCTGGGGATTTTGCTCAGTGGCACCGTGCCTGCCTCGAAAGCAAGAGGTCCTGAGTTCATTCCCCAGGACCAAAAAAACAAACAAAAAAGAATAGGACAAGACTTACAGTGAAACTGAGTCTTGGGTCTTGGTCAGTGCTGCTGATGGCAGCAAAGACAAAAGCCCCCAAGCACATCCAGTACTTACTGAATACAATCGTCAGAAGGAACAGGGAGCTAGGGAGCTCTGAAGGCATCTAGTGAAACACTGCTGAACACCTGGCATGATGGTGCCAGGCAGGGCTGTCAGGGAGTAGGCACTGCTTATGTTGCTAGGATAGAAGACATGGGTACTGGGACGAGGCACAATTGGCAAGCAACCCACAAGGTCAGGGAGAAGCAATAATTCAGGAGAAAGGATTTTAATTGGGGTCACGCTGACCTCAGCTGCACAGAATTCAGCAGGGCCCTGCCACTTCACAGACTAGGACTTGGGCCTCAGTGACAGCCATCAGCAAGAGAGAAATGCTAGCCCAACTCTGCTAGCTGACACGCCCATGTGAGTCACGAAGGACTTCCCTCTGACTCCTGATATAAAACAGTATAGAGCCGAGGATTTACCTCAGTGGTTTCGCCACCTGCTGTGCAAGCGCAAGGACCTGAGTTCAATCCCTGGTACCAAAAAATAAATAAATAAATAAAAATAGTATAGTCGAATTAGGGAAGGCAAGAAGCATGTGCCACTCATAGCCTGCTAGTACTGGGCAGGGACGTCTCCTACAGGCCTAGGTTCAATCTCCAGTAGAAAAACAAAAAGCCTTTATGCTAACCCTAATCCATCAAGGTGGAGATGAACACAGCACAACAGAGAGGACGCCACATGGGCATGTCCTCACAACTCTTGTGTAGGCCAATCGCAGGCTTTGGAAAAAGCAGAGGGGCGGGTTTATGCAAAATACAGAAAAATGAACAAGCGAACAGAGCATATTTAAGCAGACCGTGTGTTTATATATATATATATATATTTTTTTTTTTTTTTGGTACTGGAGATCGAACTCTGGTCCTTGCGCTTGGAGGGCAGGCGGCAGAAACACTAAGCTAAATCCCCAGACCAAGCAGACCACATTTAAGACCATATTTAAGGTTTGGTTTCAAACATCTACTTTCTATTATGAGATATGAATAATAGAATATTGGGCTGAAGATTTAGCTCAGTGGTTCCGCTGCCTACCTCGCAAGCTGAAGGACCTGAGTTCGATCCCCAGTACCAAAAAAAAAAAATAATAGAATATTGAATTTAGTAAGTATTTTGGATTGAAAAGTAATTTAATATTCACATCTTGAAAGTTACCACAACTGCAAAAAGAGACTGGAAGAGTAAGGCATCCTGGGAGAGAAACCCTATGATTTGGCTATTAGGCTTTTTGTCTGAGATCAAGCGTAATATCTGTTCTCAGCAGTTGAACATTTGATACTTTATCAAAGACAAGGTATTAAGTGGTCTTTTAGAAATAGAAGTAGATGATGTGATAGCAAATAGTGTATTCTCTTGGGGGAGCAGTGGTGTTTTAAAAATATGATCTGGGGGCCCGGGAGTTTAGCTCAGTGGTGCTGTGCCTACCTTGCAAGCGCAAGATCTTGAGTTCAATCCCTGGTGCCACCCCCCCAAAAAAGATCTGGAAGCTCCTAGTTGTGCTTGCTGTTGTTTGATTAAGTGGCAACCAACAGGTTTTCAAAAATAGGGGCTCAATATTCTAGGTCTGGATATTGCACAACAACTTAAAAAGTAAGGGTCAGCTCTTAAAGGCAAAGTCGTTTATGTATACTTGTGTTTATAATGGTTTTCTATGATATGCTTAATTAAAACAGCGTCGTGTGCAAGGGGGTGGAGTGTTTTGCAAGTGTAGGATAGTTACTTTATTTATTTTTTTAGGTACCGGGGATCGAACTCGGGTCCCTGAGCTTGCAGGGCAGGCGGCCAAACCACTGAGCTAAATCCCCGGCCCTAGGATAGTTATTTTAGCATCTCTATCAAAAGCTCCATGGCCGGGGGGGGGGTTAGCTCAATGGCTTCGCCGCCTGCTGCGCAAGCGGATGGACCCGAGTTCGATCCCCGGTAGCGGGGGAAAAAAAAAAATAAAGCTCTATATTGGGGCTGTGCATTCAAGATACAAGACATATACAAGAACTCATTTATACGATGTGAAACAGCAACTTCTCACAATCAGATTAAAGAGAATCTATCGGTAAAAAGAGCAGTTATTAAAAAGAGGAGACATTTTATAGCTACAGAATATCCTTTGGGGAAATGTTAACCTTGCCGATTTGGCTTGAGCTAAAACACCCGTACCTCCACTTTCCGAATTTGCACAGCTTTTCCTGTTTTGTCCTTTACTAAAGAATGCCGACGCCTTCGTCCTAAACTGCATCTCCAACCTGTCTCTGAGACAGGATTATAGGTGTTTTCTTCTCCAGTAACACAGGATACATGATGGAGCAATGAGATGGAAGAGGACTGCTCCACGCCGTTCCTCTCCGATGCAAAAACGTTCAGATCTCTACAAACACGCATGTCCTGATTTCATTTTCATGAAGCAAAGCAAGCTGGTGCAGGAAAGGATCGTTATAAGCCCCCATCCCCGGGTTTTTACCCCGGCAGAAGCCGCGCAACCGGAAGAGGGCTCCGTGCAGCTGGTGACTCCCAGGGTGCACCGGAAGCGCGGCTAGTGACGCACACCGTCCGCCGGAAGTTCGAGTAGCTGACGCTGGTCTCCGCTATGGCGGTTTCCTCAGCTTGCTGCAACCATGTGTGGGTCGGTACTGAGACCGGGATCCTGAAAGGTGAGTGCAGGGTCGGAAGTCGGGAGGTATAAGGGCCGCTATCACCTGACCCCGAGGTCTCTGACACCTCGTCCCGCAGGGGTGGACTTCCAGCGGAAGCTGGCGTCCAACTTCACCACAACAGGGCAGCCGCAGCGCGAGGCGGCGGTGAACGTCTTGTGCTGGGGCGCGGGCGACGAGACCCAGGTAGGTGCCGGGGCGCGTCCCTGTCCCTGCCGTCCCTGTTCCTGCCGTGCCGTCATTCCCGACGTCGCGCCCTCTCTGCCCGCAGATCCTGGTGGGCTGCGCAGACCTGATGGTGAGGCGCTTCAGCACCGAGGAGGGCGCGTTCCAGTGCCAGAGGCACTGCCCCGGGGGAGAGGGCACATTCCGGGGACTCGCCCAGGCCAACGAGTAAGGCCGACCCCTTGCGGCGACCCCTTGGATGACACAGGTTGGGATGGGTCACAGGAACCTAAGCTCCTCCGAGATACCTACTGAGTTCCAACACTGCAAAGTGTAAGGCTTGCAGGTGAAGCTTCTGCTTTAGTAAAACCTGCAGGCTCTAGGGATTTTCTCTTGACGCCATAACCTTTTGTGTAACTCTGGCGAAGTCACTTAATAGTTTAGAGCTTGCTTCCAAACAACGACTAACAAACAACAAGGTAAGAAAGCTTCCAAAGTAACAGCTAGGAAGGTCTGGTAGTTAGGTTACAGGGTGGGGATTTCTCGCGATAAAGGCTGTGGACAGGCTGTGTTGGTTTAGACAGGTGAGCTTTGGAAAGGATCTCTAGGGGATGGGAGTTTCGAACTGGGTCTCAAAGGATGAGGAGAATTGTGACAAATGGAGTAAAGGTCGAGGACATTCTAGAAAGTAGATACTGGGTCGGAGATTTAACTCAGTGGTTCCAGTGCCTGCCTCTAAACTGGAAGGTCCAGAGTTCGATCGCCGGTACCAAAAAAAAGAAAAAAAAAAGAGTAAGGTTGAGAGATTTGCACCTTTTTAAGACAGGGTCTTGCTCTGTAATTCAGGCTGGCCTTGAACACATGGCAGACTTCTTGCCTCAGCTTCCTGGGTGCTAGGATTACACACGTGCACTGCAATGCTCAGCTGAGAGGTTTGCACTTTTGTAGCTGGTAGGGAGTCAGTGGGTCTTGAGCAGGAAGTGCTGTGTATATATCTGTGAGCTTGTAGGAATGTGGAGGATTGGAGAGAGCAATGGTGATGGTGGCATGTGGGGGTTGTTACCACAGTCCCCAGCAAGCAGTTTAGACAGCTTGAACCCAGGTGGGAAGGTGGGCAGAAGGAAGAAGCAGCATAGGCCCAGGCTGCACAGGTCCTGGGAAGACTCCTGTGGGCTTCTCAGAGGGGTATTTGGATGGAGACATTGACATCGGTGCCTAAAACACATAACGGGGAACTTGAGTAGAAGCTGGGGGCTAGAGATGTAGCTCAGGGGTACAGTACCTGCCTAGCATGAGTGAGACCTGGGGTTCAATCCCTAGCACTGAGAAGAAAAACCAAAAAATGGCTGGGTGTGATGGCACACACCTGTAATCCCAGCACTCAGCAGGGAGTGAGGCCAGCCTGGGGTACGCAGCAAGACTCTCTTTCAAAACAATAGTAACAAAAAATAGAAACTGCTGATTCACTTTGGCCAAACACTAAATCCAGCTCAGTGCCATTTTATTCCTTTTGAGGTAGTGATACTGACACTCTCCCCCCCAGTAGAAGTTAACTCAAACTTTAGAAAGATCAGGGGGCCAGGTGCTGACTTAGCTGTGAAATAAGAGAAGCACTCTGGAGTATCACAAACTTCATTTCTAGCTCTGGATCTGACATTTATAGCTGAGTGGCCAATTTTTTTTTTATTTTATTTTTTTTTTTTTGGTACTGGGGATTGAATTCAGGACCTTTTGCTTGCAAGGCACACATGAGTGGCAAATCTTAATTTCTCTGTCTGTTTCCTCACTTTTAAAACTGGTAACCCCTCCCACTGTTGAGTAAATCAAGATAACAGTTAAGCAGGAAGCTGCCTAGCCCACTCCAGGTAGCCAGAGGCTTCCTTGCAAACTGGACTCTTAGGAGGGAGTCTGCTGTGGTCCTGAGGAACCAGCTCAGAGGACCAGCAAGGCCTTACCAGGAATTTGGAGGTGTGGGCTGGGGCCTTTTAATCCCAACAGTACCCTCCTCTACTTTCAGCACACTCATCACATGTGTGGATTCTGGGGTCCTCAGAGTCTGGCACGGCGATGACAAGGAGGCACCCTCAGACCCAGTAAGGCTCCTTTCCCTTCAGGTGGGGAGGGCTTTGGAAGAGGGAAAACAGACTCTGAAACTGACGCATCTCTGGTTCTTTTCAGCTCCTGGAACTGAAGGTGGGTCCTGGGGTGTGCAGGATGCGCCAGGACCCGGCACAGCCCCATCTGGTTGCCACTGGGGGAAAGGAGAATGCCCTGAAGGTGTGGGACCTTCAGGGGTCAGAGGAGCCCGTGTTCAGAGCCAAGAATGTGAGTAGTAGTGTGGAGAGAGGCTGTGGCCAAAACTTCAGACAGCAACTAGCCCAGAGCCGTGGGCATTGGGGTGGTGAGAGGCTGAAGGAACCAGCCCACCCACCCCGAAATGGCCTGCCCCACAGGTGCGGAATGACTGGCTCGACCTGCGGGTCCCAATCTGGGACCAGGACGTACAGTTTGTCCCTGGGTCTCAGAAGCTCATCACATGCACAGGGTACCACCAGGTAAGGCACTGTCTCACCCCAGCCTAGGAGTGGCACAGCCACCTTTCATACCCCTCCTTTCCTCCTGAGCTCTCAGAGGAGCCTGTCCGCCCCTGTCCCTGTTCAGGTGCTGAGCCCGTGACTCCCTTTGGTAGTGAGATTTCCTATGCTGTAGCTGTTTCTCTCACCTGGAGCAGCTCACAGGGAAAAGGTGTTGCTATGGACTGTTCTGCTCCTGATGCAACTCCCCATTGGCTCTGGCCCGGGCTGACCCCTACATCTGGCCTCAGCCACTCAGCTCTGCATGAAGAACCCAGCTAGGGACCCCAGGCTTATCCTAGGTTGAAGTCTTGAGGCCCAGGCACCTGTGTCATTGTCCATCCTCGCCCCAGCCCCTGCTGTGCCTCCAAAACCCACCTGAGGGTGGCTTCTCCTCCCTCCTTCAGGGTAAGCCTCTCTGCTTCAAAGTTGAGGCCCTCTGACTATTGGACCCACCTTTCTGTCCTCCCACTCCTGATAGATGGGGACATGGGGACTGCTCCCCTCACATTCCTGAGCAGCTCCGCCCCTCCCCCCATCCCCAGCACTCCAGAGCTGAGATGTATATTTCTCATGAATCATGAAAAGGGAGCAGAAAGGATGACAAGGAGATGGTGGGTGGAGGTGCTGGGGGCCGGGTACAGGAGGTGGATATTCCGACACCATGGTCTTCCTCTAGGTCCGTATGTATGATCCAGCCTCCTCGCAGCGCCGGCCAGTCCTAGAGACCACCTTTGGAGAGTATCCACTAACAGCCATGACCCTCACTCCGGGGGGCAAGTGGGTGCCTAAAGGGCCAGGGTGGGGCTCAGAAGGGATCCTGCACAGTCCGCCCACCCCACCTGCCTCCTGTCTCCTCCACAGCTCTGTCATTGTAGGAAATACTCATGGGCAGCTGGCAGAAATTGACTTTCGGCAAGGTGAGCTGACCAGGGTTGTCGGGAAGGGCAAGAGGAAGGAAAGAAATGAGGTCTCTGAGCCTGTGTAGGGAGCCCACTGAACCCTCATCCAGTGCCAGAAGGCCCGGGTTCAAGTCCTTGGTTGCACCAGAAGGCATCTGATCTTGGAGTAGCTTCTTCACTTCCTGTGCCCTAGCTTCCTCACCTGTAAAATAGAAAAACTATTGGTAACCCCATCTTAGGGCTACTGCGAGGATTAAATGCTGAAATGTTAAGTGATCTGAGCAGTAAACACTCCATGATAAATGTCTGTGGCTGGCCTCACCCTTTTCCAGGGCGCCTACTGGGCTGTCTGAAGGGGCTGGCAGGCAGTGTCCGAGGGCTGCAGTGCCACCCTACAAAGCCACTGCTGGCCTCCTGTGGCTTGGACAGGGTCTTGAGGATACACAGGATCCAGAACCCTCGAGGCTTGGAGCATAAGGTGAGCCCCGCGCCCAGCCTAACCCACCTCCTGGAGCCCAGGCCTGCGCCCCTGCACTCCCTGTGTGTTTCTGTCTCAACGTAGGCTGCTCACCTTTTGCAGGTTTATCTCAAATCTCGACTGAACTGCCTCCTCCTGTCAGGCAGGGCAAACTGGAGGGTGAGCCACCTGGGAACTGGGAAGGTGGGAGCCACTGCCACAGGTGGTCCATGGGCTTGCCCCATCCCTTAATTTGTCCAGGGGGTACCGACAGTGTCATCTCAAGGGTGACATAGCCTAAACCAGGGTGGCAGTGGTTCTGGGCACCCAGAGGCTTTATTAGCCAGGGCTTCCTTGCCTTTTCCTGACCCGAGCTTTCTTCCCGCACCAGGATGAGCTGGAAGAGCCAAGGAAGCACAGTGAGGAGCCCCCCGAAAATACGGAGGTGGATGAACTCTGGGCATCTTTGGAGGTAGCTGCCAAGCGGAAGCTCCCGCGTGTGGACCAGGGCCTGAGGGCCCTCGAGGCCCAAAAGAGGAAGAAAAGGTGGCCCGCGGCCTTGAGCCCCCAACCCTGTGAATAAACACCTCTCTACCAGCTGTGTCTTAATCCTTGGGGGGGGTCGTCCCCAAACACACGTCACAGAGGCTGCCTTGTACCCAACGAGGGCCTCAAGCGCCAAGGGCCATGGGCTGCTGCCAGGACAAGGTCGCAGAGGGGACCCCGGTGCCCAAAACGAGGCCACTCCAGAGGGACGGTCCTGAAGCCCGCGCCGCCAGACCCGCGGGCGACGAGAAGGACGCCCGGGGCTGCCAGGCCCGCAGGTCCGACGACAGCTTCCTCATCACCGTGCTGTGGCAGCGGCTCTCCATGTTCAGCCGGCGGAGCTCCGCGCGGTCGACCGCGAGACATTCGGAAGTGATCCAGAGGCAGGAGGACAGCCAGGAGCAGCCGGAGGAGGGTTGACCTAGTCTCAGAGGAATAAAACGTCCCTCTTAGCTCTGCTGGGTCCCGGACCTCGGCAGCCCGTTCCGGGTTGGGAGGCGGGCACTTCAAGGCTCTGTTTCCCCGCCCCCGTTTGGGGGCGGGTCCATGGCGGAGGCCCAGCCAATAGGAGGCCGGTTTGTGAGGCGGACTCGGGAACCGGTCCGGGTCTGCAGGGTGAGGGGCGTGGCACAGCTCGTCGCGGGGACGGAGCTATGCGTGGGTGACGTGGCGGCGCCCAGTCGCTGTCTGCTGTGCGCGGCTCCGGCGCCGTGGAGGAGGCGGAGCCCGCCTGGGAGATTGCGACAGCGGCAGCAAGGAGGTAGGGTCCGCTCTGAGTGGGGCCCAGCTACTCCGTTAGCTCGGGGCAGCGGTGTCTGGTGCTTGGAGACAGGCGGGGGAAGGGAAACGGGCCGGCAGACAAGTTCTGCCGGCCCGGCTCTGGCGAGCGAAGGCCGCGCCGTCCAACCAGGAAAGCCCTAGTGCGGAAGAACTTCGGTCGTGGCCAATCAGCAGCTTCAGCCTTGTGGCAGGCGGGACTTTGCCAGGGTGGGACTTCCTATTTTGAATAAACACCCCGAAGTCCCCCTCGGGCCCCCGAAGTGCGTCCGTGGGGGCGGCGGCGCGTCTCCCAGTCTGCCGCTGCTCGGGGGTTGGAGCACATCGAGGCAGGCCCTTCCCGCCCCCAAGCACCGAGCGCGGAACCCGCGCCGGGAGGGGAGCGCGGGAACGCGGAGGCCGCGATGACGCTCTCCTCTCCGCCAAGGTCCGAGGTGATGTGGCCCGATGATCCCGCGGAAACGACACGGAGCTAAGAACACGGACCAAGGTGTCTACCTGGGCCTCTCGAAGACACAGGTCCTGTCCCCTGCCTCTGCGGGCCCAGGCCGCTGCGACATCGCCCCTGCGACCCCGCCCGCGGCGCTGGCCCCGAACCCGCCAGATAGCATGTCCTGCCGGGACCGGACCCAAGAGTTCCTGTCCGCCTGTAGGTCGCTGCAGAGCCGGCAGGTGAGCCCGGGCGGGGGCGGGGCAGGGCTAGGGACCTTGAAGATCCTCCAAGCTCGCGAACAGGAGGCGAGAATCTGGGGTGTTTCAGGACCCCCCAGAGCGTAGGATCGCTACCCGGGAGGGCGGCTGCGGTGAGTTGTTTGGCTTGGATCAGAAAGTACTTCCCAGAGGAGCCTGTAGCCGGAAACACACCTGAGTCCGAGTTCCAGCTAGTTCTGCCAGACTTGCTCTGCAGCCATGGGGAAGCTAATGTAGCAGTGCCTCAGGTTTTTTTCTCCAAAAAATACAACATGGTGGAAAGAAAGAAATTTTCTAGATCAGCAATTTTTATCAAAATCACTTTAGAGTTCTCTTTTGAATGTTAGGTTGTCTTGTTTCATTCTAGACTTTGAATCCAAGTGGGACCTGAATAACTATTTTAAAAGGTTGTTATTGTTTAGCTCCTATTAACAATTGCTTTTCTATGTGAAAATTGCAAGAACTCTTCAGTTTTCTTTCTTGAGTCCCTGGTTCTAGTAGAATGGCAGTATTAGCTGCCGTTTATTTAGTTCTTAACAATGTATCAGGGCTACCTGAAGTATTTTACAGCTTTTATAGTATCTAATTTTGAAAACAGTAGGTAGTGGGTGAATTGTTTTCATTTTATGAAAAAGGAAAAAGATTCAAAATAGTTTATTTGCTCAAATTCCCCACCTCCTAAATGGTGGAATGAAGACTTGAATGGGAGTTTACTTGTCTTCTACTTGAAGACTGATCTAGATCAGCAGACAGTGAATGCCACCAATATTAGAGAGAGTGTAGTGGACAGGTGAGGAACAGTGAAAGCTGGAAATGGTTAGGAGGAAACTGAAGTTGGCCCTTTTGACTTTACTTACCAGAATGGAATCCAGACAAATAAGCCGACTCTGCGTGCTGCCCGACAGCATAGTGAATTTACCCTTATGGCCAAGTAAGTGGAGCGCTCTTGCGGGGTGATGTCCTGACTCGGAAGTGGGCTTGCCTGTGGTGGCTTGGTTGTGAGGCAGTGATGGGCTGAGCTGGAGCTGCTGGGGATAGCCCTTCTACCTTCCACAGTGCTCTCACTGATGATCCTTTGCAGGCATATTGGGAAAGACCTCAGCAACACATTTACCAAGCTGGAGAAGCTGACAATCTGTGAGTGTTAAAGTTTTTCAGAAGTGTGGCAGTGAGGCAGAGGCCAAGGGGCCGCATCCCTGAGCTGTGCTTCTTTGGAGGGGATAGTGGCCGTCAAGCCCAAGACTTGCGCCTAGGAGGCCAGTGCTCTGCCAGGGAGCCACTGTCACTGGAAGCCCTTTGAGTCTTCTTACATCATGTCTCTTATCTCTGCAGTGGCAAAGCGCAAGTCCCTCTTTGATGATAAAGCGGTAGAAATCGAGGAGCTAACGTATATCATCAAACAGGTGAGCTGTTCAGTCACCCTGCATTCTAAGCAGATCACGTCCAGCACTTACTACTGCTTGGAGGCCCAGAGCCAGCCCTCAACACTTGCTCTTCCATTGACTCCATTGACACCTCACCGTCATCTGCCATGTGAAAGGCAGCGTACTGGGCGCATGATTCCTGCCTTTGAGAGTTTATTATCTAGAAAACCAGTCCAGCTTAGGGCCAGGAATGTAGCTCCGTGGTTCTGCCGCCTGCCTTGAAAGCGGCAGGTCCCGAGTTCGATCCCCAGTACCAAAAAAAAAAAAATTTATCCTAAAAGCACTCCAGCTTTATAAGCCAACCCTTAGAAATATGTAGAGTGGTGTAGAAAAGCTATTATAAAGACTAGACAGTGTGGAGATGGTGGGGTAATTTGATAAAGAGGTAAAAACCTGAGCTGTGTAGCTGCAGTGGGAGGCTGTCACCCGCCTGCCCCAGTTGTGGTGTTGGTACCACATTATCCCAACTCTGAGCCTCCTTACTCTGCTGTCTTGGTTTTTTTCCCCACAGCATTGTACTTTCAAAAGTTCTCTGTAATTAGCCATGTCTGTTGTTTGTCTCTGTTCCTTCCCACCTATCTCACGACCCCTCCAAAAAAAGCGGGACATGGTGGCATATCTCTATAATTCCAGCATTCTAGGAGGCTGAGGCAGGAGGATCACAAGTTTGAGCCTAGTCTGGGCAACTTAGTTACTTAGCAAGACCCTGTCTCAAAATTAGAAAGGGCTGGGAGTGTAGCTCACTGGAAAGGCTCTGGGTTCCGGGGTCAGTCCTATGTATGGGGAAAAAGTTGGGCTCTTTTTCATTGTATATTTTTAGTGCACCTTTGCAGTACACAGTGGTTACGTTATCAGGCGGAGTTGTGCATGTGCATAACACATCCTAATTCTTTTTATATCTTCTCCTCCCTCTCCACTCCCTCCATTTCTTGGTCCCTTTCCCATTTCTGAAGGTTTTTAAGAGAAAAACAAGAAATACATAGCATCAGACCAGGGGATTGTCTTTTTGGCCTATTGACAGACATATCCCAAGGCTTTTACCACTGTTTGGCTCCAATCACTGTCAGTTGAATGGGTTGGAAAGGCAGGTTGGTGGCTGGCTGTGACGCACAGCAGTGTGGTCCTGAGTGCTCGGGACACAGGCGGAGTGTAGAGGGTGGAGCCGAGAAAGGGTGCTGCAGTTGTCCTCTACAGAGTGACGATGGCAGAGGCCAGAGGGCAGACGCAGTGAAGTGGTGCTGTGCTGGTGGAGAGACAGCTCTGCGCCCACCACATGTACTGCTTAGGCCTGCTTGAGCTGGCCTGCTGGACCGAGAGGCGTGGGTCCTGGTGGGTCTGCCTCTTGGCGGAGGCTCCCACTGTCTGAGCTGCCTTCTAGGGCTTAGTTATAACCGTGCCTGCTTCACAGGGTCATTGTGAGGTCCATTTTTCAATCACTGAAAACATTAAGTGACTTTTTCAGGGACAGGACTTGTTTAGATGAGGTCATCTAGGATGGCCTGGCTGCAGACAGTCAAGGCACACATGGTGAGGAGAAGCAGGTCATCCACAGGTCTGGCAGAGCGCGTTCCAGAAGTGGGAATGTAACTCAGAAAGTGCGAGTGGCAGAAGGGAGGGTTCAGTGCTGTGCCTTGGTGTGTGATGGCCATGGAAGGGCCTGTGTGGCTGCAGCAGGTGGGTAGGGAGAGCAGACAACTCGGGAGGGTCCGTGTCCTCAGTGGGGCGGGGCAGTCAGCTCGCTCTGGGGAAGCTTTTAAGCAGAGGGATGACATTGCCTGATCTTTGGTTTAGAAGATCATTCTAGCTCCTTTATAGGATGCGGGCTGTTAGAAGGATAGTTACTTTGAAGATTCTGAGAGATTTTCCTCTCCCTCAGAAGAGGCCCAGGGTCTTCTCATTGAGCTACATCCCAGCCCTTTTTCAAAATTTGTCTGTCTGTCTTTATTTATTTTTTCGGTACTGGGGATCGAACTCAGGACCTTGCACTTGTGAGGCAGGCGAGGTGCTACTGAGTTAAATCCCGGGCCCAAATTTATCTTTATTTTGAGGAAGGCTCTCACTGTGTGGCTAAGTTGCCCAGGCGTGGATTGAATAACCTTTTACCTCAGCCTCTCAGAGAGCTGGGATTACAGGTGTGCTCCACTTTTCCAGGCTTAGCCTATTTCTTTTCTTTTTCTTTTTTTTTTTGTTTTTTGGTACTGGGGATCGAACTCGGGTCCTTGTGCTTGGGCAGCAGGTGTTGAAATCACTGAGCTAAATCCCCGGCCCTCCTAGCTTATTTCTTATCCTCATTACTTTTTATGTTTTCTCTTCCTTCTGGTCCCTTCCTGGCTCTTGCTGTGCTGGGATGAGCTTTCTTTGCCACAGCCTGGCTTCCTCCTTCATCCCCCTTATCTCTTGGTAGGCTGGGTGGGTACCAAGCTGAGGACACATGGTCTGGTGTAGACACCATGGCTGTGTGACCAGCTACCTGCATGTGACCTTGGACAAGTTACAGCTCTTGCTCTCTTGCTGCATTATTAGGAATTCTGTCTCTTTCCTTTTCATATCACGCAGTGCTTTGCTGGGCATTGCGTTCTGTGCCTCACAGGGTGGAGCAGGGCACTGAGGTGGAGGTATAAACAAGCCAGCGCTTACAAATGGATAAGGCTCTGCTGGTCAGGGACTGAGCCAGGACTGGAAAGCACTAGGAACCATTGTAACTTTTGCTAGTAGTTTCCACCTTGCCCTCCCTGCTGAGGTAGTCTACATGGAACAGTGGTTGAGGACGCTGTTAATGCTGTGTTTTCTGTGCGTTCTTTCACTAGGACATCAATAGCCTCAACAAGCAAATTGCTCAGCTTCAGGACTTCGTGAGGGCCAAGGGCACCCAGAGTGGCCGGCACCTGCAGACACATTCCAACACCATTGTGGTCTCACTGCAGGTGGGGCCCTAGGGATGGGGTTGGGGGCAGGGGGAGTTTCATCTCCAGATGACCCCTCTCCTTTTCTTCTAGTCAAAACTGGCTTCTATGTCCAATGACTTCAAATCGGTATTAGAAGTGAGGACAGAGGTGAGAGGAACGTGTAGGAGGGATAGGAATCTGGGGTAAGGCCCAAGGGAAATGGGGAAGGGACAGGTGCCTGGAGACATGGGACCAGCAGGAGGGCTCTCTAACTCACCCACCCTCCAGAGGCCTCAGGACCTTTGCCTTCTTCCCCACTGCAGAACCTGAAGCAGCAGAGGAGCCGGCGGGAGCAGTTCTCCCGGGCACCTGTGTCCGCCTTGCCCCTCGCCCCCAACCACCTGGGTGAGTCTTACTGTAATCTATGCCGTAGGGCCGGGGATTTAGCCCACTGGTTCTGGTGTCTGCCTCGCAAGTGCAAGGTCCCAAGTTCGATCCCCAGTACCAAGAAAAAAAAAAAAGAAAAAGCAAATAATAATTCATTTGGGCCGGGGATTTAGCTCCATGGTCTCGCTGCCTGCTGCACAAGCGCAAGGACCTGAGTTCAATCCCTGGTACCAAAAAAAAAAACAAAAACAAAACTTACAGATCCATGCCGTGTGTCCCACATTCTCACATCGGGTGAATTTAGTCTTACAAGAATGAGTGTCTGATGTTTTTGCACTTACTCACATTCTCTTAATTTTCACAACCACCCCGTGAGAAAGTGAATAACGTTAGTGTCCTTTCACAGGTGGGGAAACTGAAGCTCAGACAGATTGGATGACTTGTCCAGGGTTGCAAGGCTATTGAGTGCCAGAGTAGGGACTCACTTCAGAGCATCTGGGCTTCGGATCTGTTTTTACTATTCAGATGAGCCACGTCCTCTCTCCTCCCCAGGTGGTGGCCCTGTGGTTCTGGGGGCCGACTCCCCTGCCTCCCGGGAGGTGGCCATTGACATGGCGGATGCACGGACCAGCCAGCAGCTGCAGCTCATTGATGAGCAGGTACCCGCTCTGGGTACTTGAAGCTGAGTCTTCTGGGTCCCAGCAGAGTGTAGCTCATGTGTGGGTGGAATAGCCAGCTGGGAAGGTCTTGAAGACCCAGCCTCCTTGTGGAGGGCCCAGTGCTCACTGCTCTATCCCTCCTGAAGGACTCCTACATCCAGAGCCGGGCAGACACCATGCAGAACATCGAGTCCACGATTGTCGAGCTGGGCTCCATCTTTCAGCAGCTGGCACACATGGTAAAGGAGCAAGAGGAGACCATTCAGAGGTGAGGCACCCACTAGGGGCCTTCTCCTCCTGTCACTGGTGTCGCGAAGCCCCAGGGACAGTATGTACCTTAGAAGAGTAGAGGGACTCCTGTCACCCACTCTGAGAGTGTTTCCACGTCAGCATAGCCCAGGTGCTGGAGGTACGGTGAGGGTCACAGTGGTGCAGGCTCCAGCACCTGGGCACCTTGTGGTAGGTATGGGGTGTGAGAGGGCAGACAGCTGTACAGAGAGCTGATCTGCAAGCAGGTTTCAGGGATGTGGTAATAACAGCTCTACAGAGAGCTAAAGTAGGACGATGTGTTGAGAACGTGGCTCAGAGCTGGGAGCAGTGCTCTGTGTCTGTACACCCAGCTCCTGGGGAGACACAGGCAGGAGGATTGCTTGAGCTCAGGAGTTTGAAGCCAGCCTGACCCTCACAGCCAGGAAATGACTGAGTACGCACCTCAGATCGGGCAGCAAGGAAGGCCGCTCTAAAGAAGACATGCTGTTGGAGCAGAAAGAGTGTTCCAGAGAGTAGGGACCAGACCTGGAATTTACCTCAGTGGTGCCACCCTTGCAAGCACAAGGTCCTGAGTTTGATCCCCGGTACCAGGGGAAAAAAAAAACAAAAACAGAGAGTAGGGATAGGTGGAACCTGGCCCCTAAGATGGAACAGTCTTCCTATATTCGAGAGTCCAAGCCAGTGAGGCTAGAAAGGTATAGGGTCTGGGAAGGAGGGAGGGAGGGAGACAAGGCCCACCAACGTCTCAATTAGTCATGGGGACACATACAGCAGTGGGCAAGGGAGACAAAACCCTTGTCATTGTGAAACTTACATGCCGGGAGAAAAAGATGATGAGTCATAAACATAATAAGGAAAATCCAGTACGTTAAAAAGTTAGAGTAGGCAAACCAACAAGGACACTAGGTTTAGAAGACAAGTTGCTCTTTGGTTTGTATGACTTCCCCACCAGACATTGTAATTGTAAAGGGATGGTAAGGTGAGCCCCACTGGATGGTGTCTGACCTGGGAGAAGGTGAGGTAACCTGTCCAAATCTCGGTGGAGGGTCAGTGCTGTGGACACCAGGCCAAGGAAGAACCGGTATGCAGGCCATAGGCAGGACGTACCTGTCTGAGGGGAAGGGAAGGGCTCCATTAGGTGGATGGGTTGGGGGAGCCCTGGGAATTGAACCCTGGGCCTTTGCACTGAACCACTTCCCCAGCCTTTTTCCTTTATGTTTTCTGAGACAGTGTCTCACAAAGATGCCCAGGCTGGCAGGCTGGACTCAAGCTTGTGATCCTCCTGCCTTAGCCTTCCAAGGAGCTGAGATCTCAGGGTTCCACGAGAAGCTCTTCTAGCAGTGCAGATGTGCTGATGGCAAACTTTCCTCTGTGTGTGTGTGGCGGGGTGGGGAGAGTGTTGGGGATTGAACTCAGGACCTTAATATATCTCTCTCATGCTACCAGTGAGCAGCATACCCGGCCTTCTGTAGCCTTGTTTCCGAGCTGAGATCAATTGTGTTGTCAGTCATTACAAAGCTATCTCCCTTTGGGGACAATTGCTGGTGTAAGAGCCTTGCCCCTTAATTCAGTTCTCCGGGTCATCGCCGGGTAGGTCTCATTCTCTGCCTCTTCTTTTGAGTAAGGGTCTCAGTTTCCTATTCCTTGGATGTCTACTAACTGGTATATTTTACATCTTATGATGGATGCACTGTAGAGATTGTAGATTCTGTTTCTACACAGAATACTGACTTTTTGGAGGGTGGTGTTGGTACTGGAGATTGAAACTAAGGCCTTCGCTCGGAACTACATCCTCAGCCCTTTTTTGATTTTGGATTTTGAGACCTGGTCTTGTTAAGACTCCCAGGGTACCCTGGAACGTGTTGATCCTACTGCCTCAGTCTCCCAGTAGCCTGGGGATATAGATATCCACCACCACATCCAGCTACCAGTTCTGACTTTTTGGTTTAGCATACACTTAATTTGGCTACCTAAGCCAGTTGTTTTATACATTTCACCTGAGCTTTCTGGTTTTTGTGGAGTGGTTGATCTGTTAGCATCTACCCAGTCATTCCTGGAAGCAGAACCACCAGGAGCAAAGTAGTCGGGTTCAGCAGCACAGACTCTGTTGGTAACTTTGATTCAGATCCACTGGAGGAACAAGAGCAAAGCCTGATGGAATGGCTGGGTATAGGGTGCAGACCTGAGTCCCAGGAGCTTCGGAGGCTGAGGCAGTAGCATCCTAAGTTCCAGGCCATAGGGGCCGGGGATTTAGCTAAGTGGTTCTGCCACCTGCCTTGCAAGCACAAGGTCCTGAGTTCGATCCCCAGTACCAAAAAAAAAAGACTATACAGTTCCAGGCCAACCTTAGCAACTGAGCAAGTAGGGCTGAGCTGGGACCTGGCTGAGTCCTGGAACATGGGAGTGCTTGCCTAGCATGCTCAGGGCTCTGAGTTTAGTTCCTGCAGTCAGAGAGAGAGACAGAGGAATTAAAAACAGGAATACACAACTCTTCCCAGGAGATTGGCCTGCAAATGAGCAAGGAGTGGGGTGAGCACTGGTAGAAGTGAGGCAAAAAGTTTTTTTAATTTTTTTTCAGGTATGCAATAAATGTAAGTTTAATAGTACAGATCAACAGGGGAAAAGAAATAAGCAGCAGCCAATATTTGATTTTCATCCTTACCACTTTTTCTAGGGTGCCTCTAATGATGTAAACTTACAGTTTTCAAGAAACTTCCTATTCCACTCCCCATTTTATCATAAATAAATTGAATAGTTTTTCTGTTTGTATGATAAAACAGGAAAGACTGTTACATTTGAATGGAAAAGGCACTCCATTTGTGATTAATGTCACACAAAATCACATTCCCATCAGAAAACACAAACATCAACATCACAAAACTAAAAATACACAGATCAACACCATTCAATAAATATGCAAGTGGCCAGGGATTTAGCTCAGTGGTTCCAGCTCCTGCCTCACAAGTGCAAGGTCCCGAGTTTGATCCCCAGTACCAAAAAATAAAAATATAAAAGTAAATATTCAAGCTACTTCACTCTCCCCCAAAAAGGACCAATACTTCAAAAAACCTTAAAACCCTTGTCCATTTCCAAGTGACCCAAATAGAAGAGACAGCAAGATGCTATGCGTGCTATTTTACCCCTCCCCTGGCCCTTCACTACTTAGAAAACTGCCTGCTCTCCACAGAGACTGAAAATGGGCCTCATTTCTTCTCGGGGAAGAACAAATTCACTGACACCTTTGGGCAATATCCTGTTTCTCAGGAACCCTGGCTCTATACCTAGTTCTGCTTCCAAAGCCTCTTCATATAGTTCTGGGTAAGACTTGGGATCTGTTCCATTAAGATGGGCCATATGAACTAGGAGTTTCATCTTGCTGGTTTCAGTGTGGGCCCTTGGACCCCACAGGAACTCATAGCGAGCAGGATCACTGTTAGGAATCTGCCGGTACATCAAGTACTCTTCCCATACTAAATCCTCGGTGATGAATTCCCAGGCTTCCTCAAAATGAATATGCTCAGAGTGAGCTAACATGTCCCATCTTTTCACTTTTTCAGTTAGGTCCTCCTCACTAATACAGTTGCCCTCTATGAAGATTAGAGACAGGATGAATATAATGGTGTCAATTCTGAGAATGATTCTTTCATCATCGCCATCTAGTGTATATAAGACTCAAAATAGGGACTAGCTCATATGTGTAGCCAGAGTGATTCACTTTCCTGATTTTAATGCCAAAGCCCAGCTACATGGACTCAGAGAGTTCCCAAAAGTTCAGAGGGAAGTTGTGATGGTAATCACGGGGCAGAACATGCAGCATTTCTTTCATGGTGACTGGCTCCTTCTTTTGATACTTGTGGAGCAGAAATGACACCAACTTACATAACTTGGCATTTAGGAGCACATTTTGCAGGATGTGAGAGAAGTGTGCGTCCTGTGAGGAACTTGGACCCTCACAGGATTGACCTTGACTGGAAGCCATGAGGACAGCAAGAACTTGTTGAGGATCAGAAGCCTTCAAATCTCCACGGCTGGAAAATAAGACTGCTGAGCAATAGCAGTTCAGCTGCTCCAAGAATCCAAACCCAGATTTTGAAAAATCACAACTGAGAATTCTCTATTGCACAGTGCAAGGCTAGCAACAGAGGCAGGAATGGGTTATTTTCAGAGTCTCAACCTGGAATGTGGCCTTCTCTCTCACCCTCTCTTTATTTTTTATCAGAAAATTTAAAGAATTACCAAAGGTTGAAAGAATCATAATACTCCTATGTCTACCACATAGGTTCAGCCGTTATTGGCTTTTTTTTTTGGTACCAGGGATCAAACTTGGGTCCTTGCGCTTGCGCAGCAGGTGGCAAAACCACTGAGCTAAATCCCCAGCCCCATTATGGGCATTTGATCAGATTTGCTTTCTCTCTTTTCTTTGACCATTTCAGAGTGGGTTGCAGATGTGACATTTCATCTCCGAGAACTTTAACATGAACCTTAGAATACAGGAATTCTCTAACAGCCTGTCTTAATTGCTTTCTTGTTGCTGGGACAAAATACCTGATCTCCAAAGTTAAAGGAGGAAAGGTTTATTTTATCTCACAGAGATTTCAGTTCATAGTTAGCTGGCTCCAAAGCAGGGTGGCATGGCAGAGGGACATCGCAGTAGAGAAACAGTCAATGGCAGGGCAGGGAGTGGCAGCCTTCCTTCTGCTTTTCCTTTTATTCTGTCCAGGCTACAAGCTTATTGGTTGATGCCATCCTCACCCATCCGGGGTGAGGCTTCTGTCTCCTATAATTCCATCACCCACAACTGTACTAAAGCAGTCAGTGGACTGATCCAATATCACACCCCCATGATCCACCTTCCTCCCAAAAGTCCCATCTATGAACACATGAGGCTTTGGGGGGACATTAAGATATAGACCGGGGGCTGGGGATGTAGCTCAGTGGCACCACGCCTGCCTTGCAACCACAAGGCCCTGAGTTCGATCCCTGGTACCAAAAAAAAAAAAAAGATAGTCTTTCCCTTCCAGTCCTCATCCATTCCATCACACAACACAGCCTTTCAGTTCAGGCACACAAACTTCTGTTGTTTGTTATCATGTGTTCTTTATTTATTTTTGGTACTGGGGATCAAACTCAGGACCTTGCACTTGCGAGGCAGGTGGCAGAACCACTGAGCTAAATCCCCAGCCCTGAACTTCCGTTGTTTGATTTGCTACATCTGTAATCTTATTTTGCAAACATTCTTTTGTTCTCTTTACTTGGATACTCTTTTCCTTACTGTTTTCCTAAGTTCCTCTTTTTCCATGCCAATTTTTCTGCTTCATTAATTTCCTATTTCTAATTGCCCTGCTGTTTCCAGTACTTTGGGGTACCCCCATTCCTAAGTTTCAGCACAAGTTCCTTTCTATTAGTTTCCTCACGGTTTTTTTGTTTGTTTGGTTTTTGAGACAGGGTCTCGCTATGTAGTTCAGACTGACCTTGAACTCACTGTGTAGCCCTGGCTGGTCTCAAGCTCACTCAAATCCTCCTGCCTCATTCTCCTCAGTGCTGGGATTATTGGCATGTGCCATGATGCCTGCTTGTTTTTTTTGTTTTTCAGTTTTGTAGTACTGAGGATTGCCCCCAGGGTCTTCGCACTGATGCATTGAGCTACATTTCCAGCCTTTCTTGTATTTATTTTATTTTGAGATGAATTTGCTCAATTGCCTGGGCAGAAATTGAACTTGTGATACCCTTGCCTCAGCCTCCCAAAGTGCTGGGATTACAGGCTTGAAGCAGCATATCCTCCTGGTTGATTTGCTTGATTCAGAGCCTTACTGTGTACCCAGGCTGTCCTCCAATTTGGGATTGTCCTGCCTGAGCCTCCTCCCACCCAACCCTGTGCTGGGATTATAGGCACATGCCACCAAATGTGCTCCTGTTTTCTTCTTTTCTTTATTTTTCCTGAAGTCCAGGGGTTGAAACCAGAGATTCACACTGAGCTAAATTCACAAAATTATCATTTTGAAACAGGATCTCATTAAGTTGCCCAGACTGGGCTGGAAGTTGTGATACTCCTGACTCAGCTGCCCGGGTAGCTGGAATTATGTCAGGTTGCATTTATTCAGTTTGTCATTGTGTGTGTGTGTGTGGTACTGGGGATTGAACTCAGGCCTTTGTACTGAGCCATACCACAGCCTTTTTTGTTTTGTTTTGACCATAAAAATAAATTTAGTTGACACGCTGCAATGAGATTCAGAGACAGTGAATATAAATTTAGGTATACATTTATGCTGGTTATTTTTCTTTCTTTCTTTTTTTTTTTGTGTGTGTGATACCAGGGATTGAACTCAGGTCCTTGCACTTGCGCAGCAGGTGGCGAAACCACTGAGCTAAATCCCCGGCCCTGTTTTTTTTTCTTAAAATGTAAGCCACCATTGGGCATGGTGGTGCCTGCCTGTAATCCCAGTACTCAGGAGGCTGAGGCAGGAGGATCACCAAGAGTTTAAGGCCAGCTTGGGCTATATAGTGAGTTCGAGGCCAGCCTGAATTATAAATCAAGACCTTGTCTCAAAAAATCAAAAACAGACAAACTAAAAAGGCCAATAATTTTTTTTAAATTTAAAACAAAAGTTGCATATTAATAGTAAACACAAGTTAAAACATAAAGGCCTTAAAAACCAACCAGGGTCTCACTATATAGTCTAGGCTGGCCTTGAACTCGTAATCTTCCTACCTCACCCTTCCAGGTGGTAGGATTTCAGATGTGGGCCACCATGCTGATCTGGACTAGAACTTTTGATCCTCCTTCCTCAGCCTCCTAGAATGCTGGAACTACAGGCATGGGGCACTGAGCCTAGGTCTATCCTTTTTTGTCAAAGCCATTCATAACTGTCAATAAGAGCTTTATTTGGTGTGAAATAACAGTTGCTTCCGCACTGTCTTAGTTACTTATTGCTGAGACAAAAAACCTGATACCCAAAATTAAAGGAGGAAAGGTTTATTTGGCTCACAGTTTGTATGTGTTTCAATTCATAGCTGGCTCCAAGGCAGGACAGCATGGCAGAGGAGAAACAGCTCATGGTGGGCAGAAGGCAGGAAGGCAGCGAAACAGCAAGGAAGCAAGCAGCCAGTGAAAAGCAGCAACCCTCTTTCTGTCCCTTGTATTTTATCAAGGCTGCCCACCCTTAGGGCAGGTAACACTCATTGCCTTAATCCTGGCATCTCACCGTCAGTCATTCCCAGCATCACTGATCCCAGCAGCAAACGTCCTAGACCCAGCCATCTCCAAAGAGCCCTGCCTATGACTGCATGAGGCTTTTAGGGGATGTCTAGATACAAGCTGTACATGTGCTGAGAGATGTAGTAAGAGCCCAAATCTCAGACACCTGGTGACGTCAGCCAGCCTCTCCATGGGGAGGAGCTTTGTCCAGTCCCTGTGCTGAGCACTGAGATGCACTCCAGCCCTCACAGCTGCCTGCCCACCCAGAACCTCCAGCCACTGGCCCAGCTGGGCCACTTGGCTACACAACTTGCAAAGCAGTCTTCCTGGGGGATTCTTTTCCAAGGGTTTCATGACAGGATATGTCCCTGGAGATTTGTGATGAGATGATCTCATCACTTTGTCAGAATCATACAGCAAATGTAATTCACTAAGATGGGTGTGATGTCATCCATCTTGTACTCTTTTTTGTTTATTGTTGTTTTGGTGTTTTGTTTTGAAACACAGTCTGACTATGTAGTTCAGGGTGTCCTTGAACTCATGGTGATCCTCCTGTCTCAGCCTCCTGCATGCTGGGATGACAGGCATGTACCACCATGCCCATCTCCATCTTGTACTCTTATGGGATCTTAATGATCTGTGCACATGGTTGACTTGAAACATTGTTATGTGGTCCTATTAGCCACCTTTCTATTTTCTGTAACAAAATACCTGAGAATAACTTAAAGGGGGAAAGATTTGTTTCGTCTCATGGTTTCAGAGGTTTCTATCCATAGTCAGCTGGCCACATTGTTTCTGGGCAGAGATATATCTCAGTATGAAGGCCCTGTGTTCATTTCCCAGTCAACATATACCACACACAGTAGAGCTGGAGTGGAGGGGCCCAGGGACAGGATGGCCTTCAGAGAGCCCCAGTAACCTACTTCTTCCAAAAAGTCTCCCCTCTCCCAGTAATGGCAGCATTTTATAGCTCCCTAGGGATTAACAGGATGCATTTAGAGCCTTGCCTCAGGCATAGTCACTGGTGCTGGAAACCCCCCTGCCCTGTAGCCAGGCCTCCAGCAGGAGGCTGAGCGCCAGGGCTCAGACACAGCCATGTTGGCTTCTAGGATCTCGTCCGTAGGTGGCTGGGAGGTGTTCCTCCTCAGTAACCTCTCAAGATTGTCTTAACCTGAGAATTTTGATTTCTGTGGCACATAGCCCAATGTTGGGCTCTTCTTATTCCCAATCTCCTGTCTGTATCATTACATTTTTCTTCTCTTCCTCAGAACCAGAGTTTTCTAATAGTCTGTGACCTTTTTCCACTGTATTACAAATATAATACATGTTCATTCAACAAAAATCAGTAAATACTGCTGAGCAAAAATTACAGTAATCCAGGGCCGGGGATTTAGCTCAGTGGTTCCGCCGCCTGCCTCGCAAGGGCAAGGACCCAAGTTCGATCCCTGGTACCAAAAAAAAAAATTACATTAATCCTTGGGACGCTCATATTAGTTGGGGGTTTCATAATTCATTGAAGGCTGACAACAGCCTGAGAAGATGCAGACAGATGAAGAAAATGAGAATTGATGTTAAATAATTTATAGTCATAAACTAGTAAAAGTGACAGTTTGTTTTAAAACTAGAGCTAAGATAGGGATCCCAAAGTGGGTCCTGAGTACACCAACACTCCTTACTCCCACTCACTGAGGCCATCTGTTGGAGCCAGTACTCTGCCATCAGCAGCATTCTGTTTAATCCATTGTCCTGTTGCCCTCTTGCGTCCTCAGGATCGATGAGAATGTGCTGGGAGCTCAGCTGGACGTTGAGGCTGCTCACTCTGAGATCCTCAAGTATTTCCAGTCAGTTACCTCCAATCGGTGGCTCATGGTCAAAATCTTCCTCATCCTCATCGTCTTCTTCGTCATCTTCGTGGTCTTCCTGGCCTGACCCCTCTCCACTCCAGGGTGGTGCATGGGGCTGGGACCCTGTGGCAAAAGCAGGTGGCAGAGCTGCCACTGAGCCTGGGTGGGGTGCTGTGAAGAAAGTCCTGTCTGTCCAGAACTGCTCAGGGCAGCCACCAGCCCTGACCCCACCCCACACCTCCAGCCTGTAGCCACCGGACCTGCCTTGCCGCTCTCAGGCCCTGGAAATACATGGTTCTGGGTCTGGATTCTGCTGTGCAGTGGGCGGAAGGGCGCGGGGGGGGGGGGGGGGGGGGGGGGGGGGGGGGGGGGGGGGGGGGGGGGCCTGTGTCTCCACTGGGAGATTTTTTTATAAACCCTCCACACCTCTCCAAGAATCGGGCAGCGGGGGGAGATGACGCCCCTTCCTGCCTTCTAGAGTGAGGAGAGGAAGTGAAATGCCCCAGGGACCAACTCCCCCCTCTGGGTTAGAACTTGAGCTCCTTCTTCCTCTCCACCACTGAGGCAGGGGCCCCTGAGCCCTCGCTGCCCGCACAACCTGACACCACTGGCTGCTGTGACTTTGCCGTGCTGCTGCCAGTTTCCTCCCAATTACAGCGAGACTCAGCCTCAAAGCTGTACTGTTGTTCCTGGGGATCGCGGGGCCCTGGGGACCCTACTGCTTTGAGGGTGCAGGGCTGTCCCTGGCGGGAGGGACCCAGCAGGCAGCACCTCAGGCATGGAAGCCCCTTGAGAGAAGCCTGGGCCTGGGCCCTGAGCGTTCTGACAACTCCTGGGAACTGCTCGAGCAGTTGGACCCACTTCATCCAGATCCCGTGGGCCCTGCTCCTCATCTGCCAGCTCTAGCTGTGGCTCCTGGTCCTTGCAAACCGCTCACGGGAAAATGGAGGGGCCCTGCTAGGACACCCGGCGGGGGGGGGGGGTTACTGTGTGGCCCTGCCCTGGATTGGGACCTTCGACTGTACCCAGAGGTCCCTGAGCCTCCAGCTCACAGCTGGGAGAGGGAATTCCAGCTGCGGAGGTCGCAGGTCGCAGGACGGGTGAGGATGGTTGGGGTGTGGACCCTGGCGAGCAGGTGACAGGTGATGCCCAACTGACAGCTGATGGGTGTGGAGTCCGTGGGGCGGGGCGCTCGCCGGCCTTAAATCTGGTGTGGAAGGCGTTCTTGCGACAGAAACCCATTTATTTCACAAATATTTGGTACGTTTAAACGATGTACTAGCCTTACTGAGCTGAAAGGTAGAGGAGAAAAAGCTAGTTAAGGTTTCTGCCGCCTGGAACTGAGGCCAGTGACGCTCCCAAGGGGGATGGAAACCAGGTTGGCTCTTCCGCTTTACAGGGCGAGCCCTTTTTATGAGACAGGGTCTCACTAATTCACGTTTTGAACTCACTATGTAGCCCAGGCTGGTTTCGAACTCTCAATGATTCTCCTGCCTTAGCCTCCCACTTTCTTATTTTTTTGAGACTCTAAATTGCCCGACCTGCCGTCTGAATTGCGGTGCTACTCCCTCAGCTTCCTAACTGCTGGAATTAACCGACGCGTTCACTACGCCCGTTTTCACTCTAGTCTTGTATTTTTCTCATAATCCATCGCGAGGACAGGGACGCCTGGGGTTGCAGGGGGCTGGGACTGGCCTCAGCGGAAGCTGGGTCCACTGAAAGTGGCCAGGGGCCGCGCCTCCCCTGCTTCCGCCAACCGCACCTCCCTGCCCTAGGGCGCTGCACATGGCCCGGGGCGATACTGGCCCAACCGCACCTCCCTGCCCTAGGGCGTCGCAAACACCCCGGGGCGGTACTGACGTGTGCGCACGCGCAGAAAACTGGTTGGTCACGTCCCTGTTGCCACCTATGGGTGCCCTGGCCCGTGGCGACGCGGCTGCGCAAGCGCAAAGGGGTGCTGGCTCCGCCCACCTCCGGCGACGTCGGCTACTCGCGCAGCTCTTCGGGGATAAAGGCGGCGCCGGGCGTTCTTCTGTAGCGTCTTGCGCGCCGGAGCGCCGGGCGACTGAAGAGCCACGGAGAACTAGCCTGGCCGCCTTCCACGCTGCCATGGCGGACCAGGGGAAGTCGTACAACGGTCAGTGTTGGGCGGCGGGTCGGGGAGAGCAGGCGGGACAACGCAGGCGGGACACCCGAGAGCCGGGCAGGCCGGCGAGGGGCAGCCCAGGGCTCGGACGGTGGCGGAGGCCGCGGGGAGCGGACCCCGCGGCCTGGTGTCCCCGAGGTTGGTGGAGGCGATTGCTTGTCACCCTGAGCTCGGCCCGGGTCCCTTCCACTCGTGTCTTCTGTCTCCTCGGGACAGTTGTTGAGGTCCGTGCCAGGGACTCCGTAGGCTTCCGTGGAAGTCATGGACGTTTTAGAACTGTAAATTTTTAAAACTAAATTTGTGTTGGGGCCTGCGAGCTCTACTACGGTAGATCCTCAGCCCCATGAACTTTTTTTTTTTTTTTTTTTTTTGCGCGCGATGCTCTAGTCTAAACCCACAGCCTCATGGCTGTTAGGAGAGCACTCCACCTAACTACATCCCCAGCTCTTTTTATTTTTTGAGACACGGTCTCACGAAATTACCCAGGCAGGGCTCGATATTCTCTTGCCTCAGCCTCCCACAGCACTGGGATTATAGGTTTTTGCCACCCCTGCTGGCCCAGGGTCTTCACACTGAGTTACATCCCCAAGCCTTTTAATTTTTTTATTGAGACAGAGCCTTGCTAAATCGCTGAGTTGCCCAGGATAGGCTTGAACTTGCTTGCATTCGTCCCACTTCAGCCTCTCAGAGTGCTGGAGTTACAGGCTTGCAACACCACATCAGGCTGCGTAGACTTCTCGTAGACGACATACCTTGTAATCCTAGCACTCAGGAGGCTGATGCAAGGGGATGGTGAGTTGAAAACCAGCAGAGGCTGCATAGACCCTGTCCAAAAAAAAAAAAATTTAGAACCTGTTTCTGGACAGCAGGAGTCAGATCACATTCTTGGAGTGAATTCCTGGACCCTTGGTACAGTTCCCTAATACAAAGCTACCACCAGATTCTGAGTCTTGGTGTTCTCTTCCAAGTTAAAGGGCATTTCTGGTTAAGAAAACCCAAAGCATTTCACAAACTGCAGAGTGGCAGTTTGAGAACAAGTAGATTTCTTTAGGCATCCCTTAAAGTGGTTATATTTGTGACTGGCATTTGTACTGTACAGAAGTACTGAGTGGTAGATTTCAGGTAGCTTTCAGGGGTCTGATTTGTGACCAGTTACATTTTGGGTTGCTCACACTTCTACATTCTTCTTCTTTGTGGTTCCTGTCTGTTTCATTTTTCAAAAGCCCTACATACACAGTTTTGATGGTCCCATCCCAAAGAGAGTTCTTTCCTCTGGAAAGGCCAAGCAGTTACATGGAGGTGGCTTCTGTAGTTAGTATGTATCTCTTTTGGTAGTTTATGGTACTAAAAAGAAGTGGCCACAAGAAGATAGCTACATCAGTGATGAATGTACTGATTTGGGTACCTGTTTCCCCCCCAGAGCATGATGACCGTGCTAGCTTCCCTCAAAGAAGAAAGAAAGGCCGGGGTCCTTTCCGATGGAAGTATGGTGACGGGAATCGTCGGTCTGGAAGAGGTGTTCGGTCTTCCCGGCTTGAAGAAGACGATGGGGATGTGGCTATGAGTGAAGCCCTGGACGGTCCCCGAGTACGATAGTAAGTGAGAGTTGGTCTGCTTTGAGTAGTGGCTCAGTAGATCATATTGATCTTTTACTACTCTTTTTTTTTTTTTTTTGGTACCAGGGATCAAACTCCAGTCCTTGCGTGTGCAGGGCAGGCAGTGGAACCACTGAGCTGAATCCCTGGCCCTAATCTTTTACTGCTCTTACCATTTTTCTTTCTGCCTGGAAGAGTGATACTAGACTAATTTTTTTATTGGTACATTTTAGATACACATAATGATCACGTTCATTGTAGGGAATCTGTAGTACATGATATATCTTCTTTTTTTTATTTGTTTTTTATTTTTTTGGTACCAGGATCAAGCTCGGGTCCTTGCACTTGCGCAGCAGGTGGGGAAACCACGGAGCTAAACCCCCGGCCCCTATCTTCCTTTTTTAACCATTCCCTCCACCTCCCTTCAATTGGTTTCCCCTCCTTATGTACAAAAACTTTGTTTCCTTTTTTTCCTTCTGTTTTTTTTACTCTTGTTTTTTCTTTCCTTCTTCCCTCCCCCTCCCTTTTTCCCTTTCTTGTTTGAATATTTTCTTCCTGTTTCTCAATATCTGTTACACGTTTTAGTCCTTATTTCCACATTCGGATTTTCACACTATAGAAACAATGCAGTATTTAAACATGTGTGTCCGGTTTATTTCACTTAAAGAGTGTGGTCTCAAGGTGCATCCATTTACCTAGAAATGTCTCAAGCTCATCTTTATGGCACAGAAGTGTACTCCATTGTATAAAAAACCACATCTTCTTTATCGATTTGTTGGTGGGCATTTGGGCTGTGTCCAAGATTTATCTATTACAAACTGGCCCTGTAAACATGGCTGCACATGTATCACTGTGGTATGATGCTTTTAATTCTTTGGGAAGATACCAAGAAGGGAAATAGCTGGATTGAGTGGAACCTCTAGTTTTAGTTTTTTGAGGAATCGCCATACTAATTTCCACAGTGCTTGCACCAGTCTACACTCCCACCAACAGTGGAGAAGGTTACCTTTTTCCCTGTAGCACCTCCAGCATTTGTTATTGGTTGATTTCTTGATAGCAGCCTTTCTTTCTGGAGTGAGATGGAATCTCAGCATTGTTTTAATCTCTTGAGTGACCGCTGATGTTGAACATTTTTT